ACTGTGTTTACAACTATTTTCCTTTATGATTTATTCTTCAATGCAAAGCCAATATTTATAAATAATTCCAAAAAGTATCTAAAATTTCTTTCATGTTTATCTCGGGAAAGAATATTTTCTGGGACTTTCCTGGCATTTAAATATCAATCTTTTAATTTACATTACATTTCAATATGTTCAGCTTCAAATCCGATAAAAATATATCGCCCGAGTTTTGAAGCTATAATTATTATTTGCATTGCCTATGTTCAATGTTCAACATATAACATATGTGTTATGTATTTTTCCTTTCAAAGCATACAAATGTTCTATTGGTAAATATACCGTTTTATCGCAATCTGCGCACACGTTCCAAGATATTTTCGTTTCCCGTGTACGATCCTGGGATACGAAGAGGGTCCTCGCACACGTATGTGAAAATATGACTCACTTTCTCGGTTTCCGCCGGGGCAATTTGAGACCCGCTTTGCGGATTTTTTTCGTGTTCTCTCGCGCGGAAAACGCGAGTGGGAAACGTGAAATGGAAATTGAAAAATTGAAAAAAGGGGAGTCGAGTTGAAGCACGGCTCGTTATGCTTTATCGGCCCGTCGTATATTACCTTCGTACCACCGCGACAATCTCTTTTTTATGCTTCGATATTATTTAAAACGTTGTACCCTTTCGTCCAATCTTCCTAATGAAATCCTCTCATTTTTCTTTCTTTCGAGTTTAATCGACTTTATCCTATGAAAATCCCAATGGCGCTTCAAATTTATACGTCGAATAAAAACAACGTCCATTCCCGACACGAATATATATTTTTCCCTAACGAAACTTTCTCCTATCATCTTTTCACAAATTTATTCATCCGTCTCATAGACACTTTTTAACTCTTCGTTAATCTTAACTTTCTATTCCTCTCCGTAATATAATCGTAATCGAGTATTTTCATATATCCACGTTATTCCATTTCGTAAATCAACGAAACCATTACTTTCGTTCCTTTATTTTCGCGTGTAGGCGTCGGAGAATTGATTCGATTTCCGCGAAGCAATCATGACTTATCGTCTTTCCCCGTGAAAACGATGTTACACATCCCAACCATCATCGTCGTGTAACGATCGTATGCAAATATCCTCCTCGGTTGCAGGTACTTAAACGTGTTCATGATCTCGTTCCTTAACGATGCGGCCACGTGCTTTCACGGGTGTCGAATTATATTTCACGACGGCGCTTTCACTCGTGTTCGAGGCTCGTTGAAAAACCATTAACAGAACGGAGACTCGTCGTATAGGAACGGTCACCCTTGCCCCTCTTAATTCGCGTTGGCACGCTCTTTCGCTTCCTCGCCGGGGTCCAGGGGAGGATGAACCTCTACGTGACTGATCTGCCGTCACGTATCCGCGAGCGCGACCAATTGTGTTGACTGGTGATTTATAAATTTAATAGTCCACCGTTATTCCGGCGGAAACGAGTATACGCCTCGGGAATTTTGCTTATGCGACAGATAAAAAGTTTCGTCGTTCCGAATGGAACGAGCAGGGAATTTGATTTATTAATTATAATACAATCTTCCTATCTATTGTACTCGAGTTCGATTAAACGAAATAATTATTGAATCCTTTTCTTGATAATTTTTAAACCTTCTAAATTATCGAATGAAAAGAATTTTTGTATCGTAGGATCTTGAGCGAAAAAATTATGGAATCGGTGCGTAATTCAAATAAATGAAATTGATAAGTTTGTTAAGACGGCAACGTAAAGAGGTTGTGGTTATCGATGCGGTGATACGGTTTTATCAGGAGAACGTTCGCTAAAGTTTCAAACAGTGGAAATGCACGCGGTCGCTCTAAAATATGATCGACCAGTGCAACAATTTATTCGCGATTATTATCTCACGGCAAATAGGCTAGAAGACGTATAGGTACTTCCCGTGACTCATTCAGGTAAGGAATTTACCCGAGACTACCGTCACGGTTCCCGCGCGTACATTCATTGAATCAATACGACACGTACTCCTCTAGGAATGTGAAATGACTGCGGAGGAGCAAACCGTGGAGGAAACCGTGTTTCGATTCTAACTCGACATGCTCGTTTCCGCCGAATTATTCGTTCCAGTGAAATTATCGTCACGCGAATGGCCCTCAATTTTTTTCTGTTCTCGATCCAATATGTAATTAATCTTGTATGTATGTAGCAATTATTTTCTTAATTTTATTATTATTTTTCCATCGAAAAGATCTCACATTCCATACGTATCGCAATTGTTAGAAATATCATTAGAAAGGATCGAAATTTTCTTTGAAATAAATTCCAATTACGATCCAATTTGCCTTCAAATGCAAAGGTCGGGCTTTGAACTTGGTTCAGAGATTTGTCGAGAATGAACGAGAACTGGTTTGCGAATCCATTCTGGTTTCGAAAGTGCAGTTCGTAGGTGAAAGAGAAAAAATGGAGGGGGGGGGGGAAGAAAAAAGAGAAAGAAAAGGGAGAAAAGAGAGGGTGCGCCCTTCACACATCACGGCTGCACACGGTGATTTATGGTGCGACGAAAATTATTGCCGCTGTTAAAATACCTCGAGGCGTATTTATTGACAGACACGCGTTGCCTCCGCGAGACTGTTCGTGAAACGAGGCGGCCCTCGAAACGACAAGACCGCGCTTAAGTCGGCTCTAAACGCCGGCTGTAAAGCCTCCCGGTAGAAACGACACGTAAGGGTGCCATTTTCGCCAGAAACGGGCCGCGCTCCTTCCAAATA